ACCCTGCTGCAATGTTTTTTGAAAAATTTTCAGGACTTCAAGGAGCGAGCTGCAGGTTCTGGGCAACCTTAGGTTGCATTTGGCTGATTTGTTTTGTCTTTGTTCTTTGTTGTCTTTGTCTTTGTCAAATGGGATAGGGTCAGTCATCTTTGTCGACCCCCTATCAGTCAGGCCCACTCCGGGTGAGTGGAAGGGGATCTTGATCACCTCCCAGGAAGCTATAGAGCTCCCTCAGAAATTGGGAAATTGTTAGGAATTGAGAGGATTGTTTAAACTCTGAGTGAATGTCTGGTGAAAGTGTGTGAGTGTGGAGGGAGGGAGCCTGCCCTCTCCTCTCCTTTGTGTGGCTCCACGACTTTGGTCAGGCGGGCATTTGAGTGAGGATCTGTGAAAACAGGTCACCCCCTCCCTTGTCTGTCTCTCGCCACCAATCATCATGAGGTCGGGACAAAGTTTGTTTGTGTAGGACTAGCCAATTTACTACAGAGAAGGGGGACTGGATACAGCTCCAGCCTGGGCTGGTCCACTAAGAAAGTGTAAATCATTACTGGTCTGTGTGAAGTAAAAGCTACTTTGATTTATTCTGCTCTCTGTTGATACAATTGGCTGAACGTTTGGGCTGGCACCTTGATAGTCTGCAAATAGTCTCTCAGCAGCTGCGAGAATTATTTTTCTCAGAGTCTTTTGCTCACTGCTAAGGGGAATCAGCCCACTTAGTTAATAAAGATTTCTGTCTATAAGTTGCTCTTACCTAGGTTGTAATTTACTGTATTAAACTGAAGTTCTGGGGTAGATTTAAAAGTTATAATGTTAATGCTTTTGATTTACAGCGATTCTGTGAACGGGAGTGACCCACTTTCCAGGAGGGGTGGCCGGATGCAGGGTCTTTTGATCTGACCACTGCCTACCGGGTTCATTATGTCATATACGGCTGCCCAGGACATCCTGATCAAATTCCTTATATTCAGGTTTGGGTTGACATATTGTCCAAGAAACCCAGGTGGATGAGGGCTTGCCTCCTGAGGGGAAAATTGGGACAGAGACAGACAATTCTTTTGGCTGGGCCCCAGAAGGGAAAGGCTCCCCCGGTCCTACAGGGAGAGCAGGAAGAACCCATTAGATTTTGCTCTCTATTGAGAGACAGTTGACAGTTAGCAACCTGTATACTGTCTTGCAGGGCTGTGTGACCATGCCCATGTCAGGGGTGGCACAAAACCTCAACTGTAGGAAACTGGGGAAGGCCTGTCTAGAACAGAGGGGGTTAATAAAGTGGTGAATACTAGCCCTCTGTTACAGGAATTACAGACCCTGTGAGGTCCTGTGACATATAAGACCCTATAAGGAAATAAAGCTCCTTTAGTCCGTTCTAAAGGAACAAATCAAGTAAGGGGAGCCCTATTACAGGGACAGCTGTAACTGTCTATTTAAAGATAGACACATTGTAAATTTCTTCTTACCATTAAAAGACAGATTAAGAGACTGTGTTTCCCTCCAGGCGACCCAACTGGAACCCCTATAGTGACAGGGGAAAGGAGGCTCTCGATTGGTATCGCCAGACTCTATTGGGGGGGCATCCGAGCTGCTGCTCAGAGACCCACAAACCTCTCTAAGGTGACAGAGACAGTCCAGGGGCCTAACCCTGATGCCCTGGAAAGTCGGAGGGCTGTCAATGTTGCATTTGTTTTTCAGTCGGCCCCAAATATTAGGAAAAAAATGACAGAAGTTAGAAGGCTTTGAGGGGAAATCAATCTCTAAGTTGGTT